AGAAGAGCAAACCACTGAAAGACTGAGGCCTGGATCACAAGGACTAATTAAGGAATAATTCAGACCAACCCTCCAACTGAAGAAACAAAGAACTTTAAAAGCTGGATAAAATGTTCTTAAATATCTTCTAAAAGGGCTACTGAGAAATTGCTGGGCCAAAATTGATAAGGAAAGGAATCTGTGAGGGGAGTCTGAGGCTTAGGGTTGCTTCTGTTCTGAGACTGTTTGCTGACCCTGAAGAAGGTTTGAGAAACTAAGCTGCATTTCTGCCTGTTTTTTAAGGGCTTAAGGAAACTAGAAATGGAGTCCCAAGCCAAAGAAAGCTCAAATATTGAACCTGGGCAAGAGCTTTCTCAACTGGTAATGTCAAAACTAAAATCATTTTGGGGAAGAAGAGAACATCATCTTAGGCCTTGATTTATTTCTACAAATATGGTCCCAACACATCTATCAAACAAGCAAAGGTAACCAGGTCCCATAGAGGTAAGGGGCTATCAACTTAACGAGCAGAAACAACAGATGACTTAATGAGACCCACAGGATGTCTCAACACTGAGATAACCAGACACAGGCTCTACAGTAACTACGTGTGTGCTGTGCCCAAGGAGATAAAAGCCATGCTTGAAAAACTAAGAACTCAAAATTGTAACACAGCATATTTTGGGGGGGAAATTTTACACTGGGACAGTGATGGGCACTAGAGCTGCAGTGTCCTAGAAACTCACGAATGGTACCCTTGGGCCACTTGTGAGCCCAGGAAGAAGTGAAGATGAGGCACTGTCATCACAGACAGAAACGAGAGGGAAGCTTTCTGTTCTCCAGCTCAGCTTTTGCCACCGCAAAATGGCAAAACTAAAATGAATAAATAGGGAACTGGCAGTGGCTCAAGTCGTACAGCACCTGCTTAGCAAGCATGAGGCCCTGAGTTCAAACCCCAGTGCTGCCAAAAATAAATAAATAAATAAGTTTAAAAAATTAATAAACAAATAATAATTGAACTGTATTTTGTAATTTTTAAAGGGCTAGGCATTCACTTGGCTAAAAAATAATATAAAAAACACATACATCATGATATTTGCAACCGCCCCACCTCTATTCTTACCATCTCCTCCTACTTACATTTCCAGTCCACAGGAAAACATTTTTAGTAGTTTCCTAGGTATCCTTTCAATGCAAGTATATATAGTAGCATCTCTGTCTTTTATTAAGCAAAATTTCACAGGCTAAATACCATTCTGTTTTTCACATAGTAAATAGAGTTTAAAGATTTTTGTGTGGTTGGTTAGTTGGCTTGGTTTTGGCTTTGTTTTTTTAGACAGGGTCTTGCTATGTAATCTACAGTGACTTCAAACTCATGATCTTCCTGCCTCAGCCTCCCGAGTGCAGGGATACAGGCATATACCACCAAGACCAGGTGCTATCCAGCTTTGTGCCTTGAGGTTGCTGGATGTCACCCTGTTTTTCTGGCACCTTAGGTCCAGCAGATCTCCTGAGGCAGCTCTGGGCCAGGGCATAATCAGTCTGCAGAAGATGCAGACATAACAGAAGTTGGATTTCAGATGTGAGTTGACCTTGTGCCATGACCCTGACTCTGACTCAGAGATCAGCCTTTAGGTGCTGTCAGGTCTCTGTAGAGCTAATGGACAGAGAAGGGAACTGGAAACACATGGGGAGGCACCCTCATTTGAAACAAAAGCTGTCTTATTTTTTAGGGCCCCTTAAATTGTCCAACATCTAAAAATTGAAAAACTTACAAATTTTAGTAACACTCAGGGTAAAAACCAAGGACATTTAAATTAAAATAGCTGAAATTGTTTGAATAAATAGCCAAAAAAATCAAGTTTCTTTTTCTTAGGAGAACTTTAGACATTCTTCTATTTACCTGACTCTCAGTCAGGATCCTCTGATCAAAGTGCTTCTTATCTACAGGAAAGTCATCAGTCAAGGTCAAGAAAGAGCCCATTTAACTATGGTTCCTTCCCCAAGTCTACTCTCTTATTCTACTAGAGAAATTGATAAGCAGGTTATCTTTCATTCCACTTACCCATACCCCTTCTCCTCACTCAGGTTTAACTGAATGATTTGGGAAGATGGAAAAGAGATTGCAGTATTCCAGCAGACAACGGAAGGAAGACCAGTGTAGGTTGTTAGATAAAATATAAAATGCTCCATTAAACTTGAATTTCAGATAAAACAAATAACTTTTGCTGCATATCAGATATTGCATTGTCATTGTGTGTCTGGAATTCATATTTAACTGGGTGTCCTGTGCTTTTATCTGCTGAATCTGACAACCTTTCTTGGCTAATCTGGGTCAGAAAGTATCTGTGTGGCTAGAAAAGACAGACTTGAGAACTAAAGGCAAGTTTGCATGAGAGGGGAGGAGGCCTATGGAGGAAGAGTTCAGACTTTATTCTCTAGAAAATAGGAGACAATTGAAGGTGTTTTCTAAAAAATGATGCTTACTGTGATTTTCTTGTCCTTGTCTTTATTTTCTTTATTGTGACTTTTGTAAATCATTAAAGCAAATGTGTTCATTATAATATATACACACAGAAAAGTATATAATAAAACAGCCATAATTCTACCAACCAGCCGTTACAACTATTGACAGTTTGCTGTTCATTACCTTCAAGCTGATGCTCAATTATTACCTTCTCCGGCCCATTTTATGACCCTACAGAAAACTGGCATTTTACAGCCTTACTCTTTACATCCTTTCTGTTTTCTTCCTCTCCATGATTATGATCTTGTATGATTCGTTTGGGGTGGAGGGTTGTTGGCAATACTGGAGTTTAAACTTGAGCCCTTTTTGTTTTTAGTTTATTTTTCAGGTAGGGTCTCCAGTTTCCCTTCCTACCTCCACCTTGGAAGACTGTAATCGTAGTCTCCATGCTTGGCTTGTTTTTTGAGATAAGAACTCCTTAACACTTTTTTCTGGGCTGGTCTTGAACCATGATACTCCTGTATCTTCTTCCAACATAGATGGGATTACAGACCTGGGCTACAATACCCAGTCCTACCGTAGGTTTTTTTTTCCTCTGTGCTAGGAAGTTATAAACCTCGGGAACTAATACACAATGTCAGCTGTCTTTCAAGAGCTTAACCTTTGCAAATTAGAGGAATTTTGGTTCACTCTACTGAACCAGTGGATGGATAATCCAGAGATAAAAAGAGAGCATTAAGAGAGCAAAACATCTTTGCATCACTACATACTCTCTTTTTTTTATGTCTAAATTCCCATCCAACACTGAAGCTGTCAGTACCTATTCCATGAATTTGAAACTCTCCTCTGGGGTTCATCTGAGTACTCCCCTTCTCTGATGGCTTGCCCAACCTCATTGAAATGCCAAAAGTTCTTTGAAAAGATTTTTTATAGTTTTGCAAGACCACCAGAGTTTTAGTTCATGCTCTGTAGAAGAAAGCTCACTTGCTATGGAATAGAAAACTTGTGATGAAATCTCAGCTCTCTCATTTCTTGGCAAGAGCAAGATGTGGTCTCTCTAAACTAGTGGTTCTCAATGTGCAGGAGATCATGTCTGGGAATTCCCTTCAAACTATAAAGTCTTAGGTCCACCATGGACCTGTTTGGTATGGAGTCTCTGCTGGGGCTCATGAATGTGTGTTTTAATAAACCCTCTAGGTGATTCTGAAACTTACTTGGTTTCCTGGACAGAGATCATTTACAGGTGAGATTTACTTGAAATAATGTATTCAAAAGAAACCTGTAAGTAAGGAAATGCCTTCAGGGGCTGGGGAGACATTCGGTGATAGGGAAGTGCCAACATCTCTAAGGGCAGCCAAAGTGTCATTCTTGGTTATGTCACTACCCAACAAAACAAAACCTCCAGGAGCCAGAGATTCAGGAGGAGCAAAAATTCATGCAAATGCTAAGCTGTTTTGATTTGACCTTAAGGCAAACAGAAACACCTGAGATATGTAATATTTTTTAAAGTCTTGGGCTTCCAAAAGGTTCTAAAATTAGGTAATTCATATAATTTACCATTCAAATTGGACATCTTTGAGAATAAAAGGAAGTGCTATTGGTATTTACACCAGGTGAAACCCAGGACTGTCCCACGGTACGAAGACTGTAAAATCACCTTGACTATATAAAATCACTTACCGTCTCTGTTTGACTTAAGTTTGACACTAGATAAAAATTAATCAACTGTGCTTCTTGGTGGAAACACGTGGCAGGTACTGGAGAGAGGGGAGGGGAGGGGAGGGGAGGGGAGGGGACGGGGGGGGGGGGGTGGAGGATATAACCAGACAGATGGGAAGAGTTATATTCTCTCCTGAGACAAGAGGGAAGGAGAAAGTATTAAGACGTGAATGTGCTAAGATGTAGAAAGGGATTGAAGTGACAGTGGTGGATAATTTCCTGTCAGGACAAAGCCTTAGAAAAATACAACTCAGAATTCAGGGATCAGGAAGCACCAAGATGGAGGAAGACACAAACATAAGAGAAACAAAGCAAAGAATGGGTCTAATAGAGATAACAGAGTACTGAAGACATGGAGGAAAGAAACCCAACAGAGGACTGACTACTACAGGTGCTGTGGGAAGTACAACATCCACTAGGGTCAAGAACCATTTGGGAAGTGCCAGTCAGGCCCTCCATACCATACCTGAAGCTGACAGGAAGTCCTACTTGAGTGGACTTTAGCACAAGGACTTTGGTCTTAGTCAACTGCCTTATAAACATATCTTTAATTAGTCCAAGGTTCAGGACACTTTACCACACTTTAAAAGCAACATACATACATTCACAATATCCATTTGTTCTCAAGGTGGTGAGGTAGGATTGCCTCTCTTTATAGCATTCCCTGCATTTGAAGTTTTGCTCTTTTCTATCATTTATTTGCTTTTTCCTCCCTCTTCATTTCCTCCCTCCCTGTCCCTCTAGTTGGTAAACTCTCTGAAGTCCACCTTCTGTGTTTCCTTTCTGTAGACCCAGTGTCCACTTCATACCTCTAGACTTTCAACACTGCTCAGTCATGGCCAGCCAGCAGCTCTCCAGCACACTGCAGGCAGAACTGGTCTGCCCCATCTGCATAGATATTTTGAAGAAGCCTGTCACCATTGATTGCGGGCACAATTTCTGCTTCACATGTATTTCTCAGATTGGGGAAGCATCAGACAAGTTTCTCAAATGTCCCCTCTGCCAGCATTCTGTGAAGAGGACCACATTCAGCCACAACTGGCTGTTGGCAAGTCTGGTGGAAAAAATCCAAGCTGTTGATCCTCCTGAGATCCAACCAGAAGTGGAAGAGGGGAAATGTCAGAGGCATGGGGAAAGGTTCCATTACTTCTGTGAACATGATGGAGAGTTCCTCTGCGTGGTGTGTCGTGAATCCAAAGACCACAAATTCCATACTACTAGCTTGATAGAAGAGGCTGCCCAGAAGTATCAGGTAAGCATTTGGGACCCCTTCTCCAATGTGCCTCTACCCCCCCATCAGAGGAGTTCAGTGGGGATTTGGAAATTGTCACCTGCTCCAGTTGACTGACACCCATAGGCCCACCCCTTGCACTTGAGTGAGCAGTTCAGAATCAGGCATGGTGGGTTCAAAGAGCTTAGTCTGGCAAATGCTGCAATCAAGGCAGGAGGGAAAATGGTCAGAATTTGTATTTTGGGTTCAAGTCCAGAATCCTGTGTTTATGTATGACCTCCAAATAACCATCTTACCTCCTGGAACCAGTCACTACCACTGTGCTGAGTTGGTTCCCAAGGAACCATTAAAATATTTATCATCATTAGTCAGAATTACAACATTCTTCACTTTTAAGTCACTAAAGTTTCAGATTTATCCTTTCCTGTCACCTATCCCTCCCCCAGTGTGAAAAAAAAGGGGGTCTATTAAATAATTACACTAGTCCCCTCACCTGCTCCCCTGAGGGTCCATGAGGATATTATGAGGCAGAGGGAATTCCAGACACAGTTTGTCCAAAAGGTCCTCTCTCCACAGGGGCAGATTCAGTCACATGTGCAGGTCTTGCTGCAAAAGGAGAAGGATATTGTACAAGAGAAGACAGGAGGGGAACAAAAGATTGATGTTTTCATGGTAAGAAAAGTGGTCCCAGAAACAGAAGGATATCTGCTTATGCTCCTAGAATCCCTTATCACACTGATGCTCTGGAAAAGACCCAGTGACAAAGAAAATGGCACAGAGCTGTACCCTGTGCCAGAGGAATAGGCTAGGGGCAGGGATGGACCTTCAAGGTGGCATCAGGGTTAGGTTGTTCGTGCCCTGGCTGAACTACTGCACTTGACACACCTGGGCTGCAGCAACTCCACCCCTACCTTGGGTTAGCAGAGCTGGAGGGCAGCTTCTCGTCTTCACCTGCACACAGGTGGTATAAGGAAAAACCACACCGATCTTAGAATAGGAAAATACTGGTTTTTAAATCTATGCTCTGCCCTCCCAGATGCTAACTAGAGACTAGAAAAATTATAATGCCACCCAACACCTTTATCTGCTTTGTTTGCTTGTTTTTGCTTTTAGTTTTGATGTGTCCTAGAAAAATCTACATGAAAGTAGATTACAAACTATTAAGCCTTCTAGAAATGTGAGTTTTAGACACTCATGTCCTTGAAGGCAAAAGTGATAAAACATAATGTAACCTAAAACTGAGAACATAGGAAATGCTTTTAAAGTTCACTCTCACCTCTGTTTTCCTCTGCTTTCCTGCAGGAATGCCACAGCAGCCTGTTCTGCACTGGTTCTCACTATAAACTTTATACACTTAAAAGTGAATAGTGGCTAGAAGGACCCTCTCATCTCTGCATCCTCTTCCCTTGACCCAGGCCCAGGTGGAGTTTGAGAGGAGAAGGATCCTCATGGAATTCAAGCACCTGAGGCGGGAACTAGAGGAGGAGGAGAATTTCCTCCTGTCCAGGCTCTGCTGGCTGGGGCATGAGGTTGCCAAGGGTAGGAAATTCTACACCTCTTTCACAGAAGTGCAGCTGAAGTTCCTCAGGGTGCTCATTGGGTCCCTGAAAGCCAAGCAGCAAATGCCATCCAGACAGATGCTGAGGGTGAGTCCACTGGGGGCAGAACTACACGCAGGCAGCTGTTCATCCCTAGACTCAGTCCATAGAATTAGCCACCTAGCAGATTAACTGTGATTGTCCCCAAACATATCCTACCCCAATCATGCCCAGCACTGTTCAACAGAAATATGTGAACCACACTACAATTTAGAGTTATACTGTGGGCCACATGTCATTTGGAAATATACTGTGAGCTACATATGTAATTTAGAAATATATCTTAAGTTATATATATATATATAATTTGAAAATATATTTTAAGACATATGTAATTTAGAAATATACTTTAACTGACATATGTGATCTAACTTTTTAATATGTGTCCATATTAAAAAGATAAAAGAAGCAGGTAAAATAAATGTAAAAAACATTTTATTTAATGCATTGTAGCCCAAAATATTATCATTTGGGGTTGTATTCAATTTTTACTTTGGTGGTACTAGAACTTGAACTCAGAGCCTCATCCTTGTTAGGCAGATGCTTTATCACTTAAGCCACTCTGCCAGCCCTTTTTTGTGTCAGGCATTTTCAAGGTAGGATCTCCTCAACTATTTCCTGAGCTGGCTTCCAATGACAATCCTAATCTCTGCCTCTTGAGTAGCTAGGGTTACAGGTGTGAGCCACCAGTGCCCAGCTACTTATTTTTCAAATGATGTCTTGTGTTATGCCACCCTACCCTGACCTAGACCCTATCCTCCTATTTAAATTTCCCTCATAGCTAGGATGACAGGCCACCACGCCCAGCTTTTTTTAGTTGCTATGAGTTGCCTTTCTGTTGGGAGGGTGGTTATCCCTAGTGGAGATCCTCCTCTGTAGCTAGGATTATAGGGTGAACCATGATCACTGACTGTATTTAACATTTTAAAAATATTAATGAGATATTTTACTACTTGGGTTCTTTTGGTACTGAGTCTTTGATCTCTAATATGTTTTTGCACTAGTCATGTTTCAAGTGCCAAATAATGCACAAAATAGGTTGAAATGATCTCTCCTGAATTCATCTCTTAATCTCATTGGCTTAGGTGTCTATTTCTTTCTTTCAAGAAATACCATGCAAAACCTTTCTAGCCTTTTTAATGACACTGCCTGCAGGAATCCCATGGTCTATTCTCAGGAACAAAACATCTTCAGAATATCACTCTCTTCTACTCTTTGCTCATTTCCTCTTGAGGTCTAACCACTGTCCTGTCTAACCATCTGACGCTTCTTGAAGCAGCCTTCCATGGTGTCCGTGTGTGTAGACAGAAAAAGACAGAGAGAGAGAGAGAACTTCCAGGAGGGTCTAAACCTCCTCCTTTGCTCCCATGATTCAGCCATGTACTGAGGCTGTACTGTCTCTTTCTCTTCCAGGACATCAAAGGAATCCTGTGCAGGTATGATGGGCCTACTGATTCACTCATACTTATAGAACTCAACGTATATCCAAACACACTCCACATTCCCCTCTCACAAATATCCACACACACTCTCTACAGCCAACTATTGAGGTTACAGTTGGGAAAGACTAAGCTAAGCACATGAACACACAGGTTGGTTTGTACAAAGATCAGCTGTTTTCTCCAGATTCCTGGCTCTTCAGCACAAAATCTATTTCCTGGCACCCTCTGCATGCCTCCTTGCTCAATTGGGTGGATCTTGGGTTCACTACTCAATCTCCCTGTCCCCTTTCCCTTCTGTCCTCTCTGCTTCCATCTACCATCTTTATTTCCACCTCTCCTCGGGTCCCACCTCACTCAGGCCCCATATCCCAAGTCCTGGCCTCCTGACTCCCAGCTCACTAGCTCCTGATTGGCACTAAGCCTACTCGCCCCAGATCTCCATCCCACATGTCCATGTCATTTGCCCTCCATCCCTCACCACCTCAGCTATGTCTTTGTAGGAGCGAAGGATTTCGATTTTTCAACCCAACCCCAGTTCCTGTGGAGTTAGAGAAGAAATTCAGTGAATCGAAATCAAGTCACGACACCGTCACAGACAGCCTAAAGAAATTTAAAGGTAAGATAAGGGCTTCACCTCCTCCACTCACTTACTCTAGGGAATTCTCTCCCCATCACCTCATAGAAAATGACCTGTAACTAAGATGCCAGTGATAATCACTGCGCCCTTCAAATGCCAGATCCTATGCTGAGCATTTCCAAATTCTTACACTCTTGTCTTCTTCTTGTGTTGCTTATTTGCTTCTCTAACTCCCTGTGACAGCTGTAAGAGGAGACCTTGACTTATTCACCAAGTGACTCCCAGCTTTAGTGCAGTAGCTATCAAAAGTTGGCACTGGGGGAGTTGTCTGGGGGAACAGAGAGGAGGTAAGTGGTGCCTTTGCACGGCCCTAAGACAGGGATTGTATGCATCCAGATAGTGGCCCTTCCTAACTACAGAAAAAGAAAAGAAAAAAATACATTGAAAGTCCATGACAATTGGTAGAAATCCTTCTTTCTGCTCAAGGAAACAGAAATTACCAGAACACAAGTGGATGACTTTGGATGTTCAGTCAGATATTTTTCACAAACTTGTCTAGATTTGCATTTAGGAAGCAGGGTTGGCTTTTGTAAGGACTCCCCTGCCACAAAGGCTCTGCTGTCCCAGCTGGGAGCAATGACACCTGGATGGAGTCTCCTTTCTAGAAATATCACAGGAGCTCCACACTCCCTCCCCATACATTTTCTGACACTTGTGGACAAGAAGGACCAGGGTAGTGCCCAAAAGCCCACCCCTTCCATCAGGACTCTCCACTAGGCACACATAAGCAGCTGTAAGTGGAATGTATTTTTCTTGATCTTAGTATTTGGGCTTTTTTTTTCCATCAGCTTTACCCAGCTCTCTCGTGCCACTGGGTAAAACTGCAACCAACCCAGCAACTTTTTAGGCACTTCAGGTCTAAAATTGTATGGCTGTTGTTTAGAATTTCAGTGAAGAGACCCTCTGTCCTTCCATTCACCACAGAGTAGATTTGGGAGTGGAGAGATAGGCATGGTATGTTCTGTCTCACCCCAGCATTTTCATAGACACACACACACACACACACACACACACACACACACTGTCTCCCAACTTCCATCTGGCCCTATTAAAACCCAAAGAATGAGGAAATGGAGGGAATGGTTAAGGAGTCAAAGGAGTCCACTCATACAACCAGCCCAATCCTCACCATTCCCAAGGTTGTTGGGGGGTGAATGGGTCTGAAAACCCAGGGGTATGGTTGAGGTGCCTGGATCTCAAAGTGCCTGAATGTCTAGAAGGTAAAGTGCTTCAAGGCATTATTTCCTGTGGCTCCAGGTTTGCAAATCCCTGATATGAGTGTCACTGGGTCTCTCCTGAGTGTTCCCCATAGCTGGACTGTTAGCTCTCAGGGGAGCTGCCCATGATTCTCCCTCTACCTACCTCCACGGTTGTCAGGCATAGGACCAACAAGGAACCCCCTCATCTAACATCTCTACCCTACAGGTCTTCACTTAGTTCACCACCACTAACAGAAATCCAGGCCAGGAAGGAGCCATCATCCCCAGCTCCTGCACCCATCCTCTCTGCTGAGGAGTCTCTTATCCCTGCCCTTTTCTTTTTTTTTTTTTTTTTTTTTTTTGGCAGTCCTGGGGTTTGAACTCAGGGCCTCACACTTGCTAGGCAGGCACTCAACCACTTGAGCCACTCCACCAGCCCTTATCCCTCCCTTTTGCAGCAGGGATGACATGGACAGGACAGGACAGGCCATCCATGTCTGCTTTGGAAGAGAAGGGGGCCATGCTTCTTCAGGAGCTTTGCTCCTTTTTCCCTCAAGCCCTGTTTCAGGGGGAGCCTCACAGCAGCCATTTTTCTGTAACTAAAGGGCAAGACCTCAAAGTGCCTTTTGTTTCAGCTTATTTTTTTTTTCTTTTATGTCAGGTAGTGAGCAAGGGCCTAGATGTGATAGATGTGAGCTTGCTTTATTTTATTTACTTATTTATTCTGTGGCACTGGGGTTTGAACTCAGGGCCTCATGCTTGCTAGCCAGGCACTTTACCACTTGAGCCACTCCATCAACCCTGTTTTGTGCTGGATATATTTGAGATGGGGTCTCAGAACTATTTGCTTGGGATAGTTTTGATCCTCGATCCTCCTGATCTCTGCCTCCAGAGTAGCTAGTATTAAAGGCATTAGTCACAGGCAGCTGGCAAAAAGTCCATCTTCTTGATCACTGCCTCCCATGTAGATGGAAATAATTTCTTTTACTTTATATGTTGAAATGACAATATGTTGAACATTGAGTTAATAAAATTATAATTAAAATCAGCTTTACCAGTTTCTTTATATATCCATATATATACATTTTTTTTTTTGAGAGAAGATCTTCTTGTATAGCCCAGGCTGGCCTGGAATTTGCTGTGTAGCCCAGGTTGGCCTTGAATTCATGAACCTTCTTCCAAGTGATGGGATTACAGCTGTGCTCCACCATGCCCAGCTCTGTTTTTACTTTGTTATTGTTGTTGTTGTTGTTGTACTGGGATTTGAACTTGGCCTCATGCTTGCTAGGAAGGCTCTCTACCTCTTGAGTCACTTTGCCAGCCCTTTTTGTTTTGGGTATTTTCAACATAGTATCTCACAAAACATTTGCCCCAGCTGGGTTTGAATTGCAATCTGCCTGATCTCTGCATCTTGAGTAGCTAGGGTTACAGGCATGAAAAACTGGCACCTGGCTCATTTTACTTTTTTAGTGTGATTACTAGAAAATTTCAAATTAAGAGGTTCACATTTGTGAATTCTACTGTACTTCTTCTGGACAGTGCTGGGGTAGAGAGCCACTGCAGAGAACCCAAAGGGCATCTCTCAGTGTTTTGTATTTTCTTGGTCCCCATTGAAGGAGTGGAACATCAGGGAGAGGCCTGGGCTACCAACAGTGAGAATATGAGGGAATATGAAAGAAAAGATGTGAGAAAATATCCAGCTCCCACTTCTCCCAGGCATTTCAAATTAGAGGCTCACTGTGTGATCCAGGTTTCCTTGCTTCACCTCTCTGACTTTTCATTTCCTTCCATTTCTTCACCTAGACAAATTCCAGGCTGATAGGAAGAATGATAAAAGCAGATTCCTCAAAGGCATGGATGAAAAGGACATGAAAAGCTGTAAGTGGGGACTGGTGGCTGCTTCCTGCCATTTGGGGAAGTGAGAAATGCAAAGGGGAAGAATTCTGTCTGTGTGGGAACATGAGGCCCCATATGGGTGAATGACAAGTAAGCCACTGACAACATCGGGCTTATGTGAATGTGTGCTATTTCTTCATACTCAGGTAATCCACAACACAGTGACAACTCCAAAGTTCAAAAGCATTAAAAAATAATAAAATTTATAAATTTATTTCTTCATTGCTCAGAATCAGAGAAGGGAAAGTGGGCAAGGAGGACGTGGAGCAGCCCAGTCTCTGTAGTGTTAGCTGATGTCCTGGGCACAGCTAGGTTCTGGAGAGACTCCTCTTGATGTGAGGTGAGGACAGCTGAGGGATGGAGACCCTCTGTCATAACAGCCTGTTGTGATGTCATGAGAGATGGCTCTGTCATGTGATGATAACACTAGAAGTACCATCTCTTTTTTTGGTTGTACTGGAGTTTGCACTCAGGGCTTCAAGCTTGCTAGGCAGGTGCTCTAGCACTTGAGTCATTCTGACATCCCCTGGAAGTACCATTTCTTAAAGACTTACTATGTCTGAACATCCCACAGCCTATATTTCAAAATCCCACAATTATCCTCCAAGACAATTTACAGTGAGGTCCCTGGAACTCCTGTGGGAGTCAGGGAGGTCCATTTCCCAGAAAGGGAAAAATTAGAACTCATTTTCCAAAGGCAGTAACTACTTTCTGCATTCCAGAGCCAGAGAGCTGGATTTAGGGATTCTATTCTGGCAGAATTTCTCCACCAGAGGAGAGTGTTTAACATCCCAAGTTGCAGTATTGTGGGCCAGTAGGTTACTCCCTCCAACTGTCATGGACACAACCTGCATACTTCTTCATGAGTGGAGAATGGTCCCCACTTAGAACTATTGAGTGTTTTTAGTGATAGCAAAAGAGTTTGTTTTTAAATTGCAACTTCTGGTACCAAGACCAAAATATGGGGTTTTTTTTCTCTCCTATTCTTAGGGTGCCTGTTAGAGAAAAATAATCCCAACTCATCCTCTTTAGGTAAGAGTCCTGCCTGGCACACAGGAGTCTCCCTGCAGGGTACTGAGGAACCAGGTCTTTGGTCAAAATGCTCTACCCACAGCACGGTTGGGGAATGCACTGAAGGGAAAGGCAGAAAGAACTTCCTAACACAGAGATCCCTCTCCCTGGCCAGAGAGAGTAGAATGAATGATTGCTCTCTGTCCCCACCCGAGTTGAAAGGGAATGGAGAAAGAGCAGAAAGAAGGATTCTGAGAGACCTTAAGAGAGGTTGTTCTTGAAGACTTCAGGTGCCAGAGGTGGCCTGGGCAGACATGGGGTGGGGGCAAACATCTCATTCACCTCCTCTACCTCCCAAAGTACACCTCCCAGGAAACACCAGGCCCGCAGACTGGCTCACCCCTTTCTTGTTTAGCCTTGTTCCTGCTGCTGGATCCAGAGCTCAGCAGCACTTTCTGGCCATGGAGGATTGTTGCTGACTTGTGCTACTGACCTCTCATTTCTCTTTTCCTTCTCCCTCAACCGCAACGGAACAACTAAACTCCCCAATCCATTCCACCATCTGTTTGGGGCCTCATGTGCTGGACAGCCGCCCCTTCAGCTTTACTCCAGGCGCGAACCAGGGCTTCTTATGTTGATGTCCCCCGAGACCGAACCCGCTCTGCGGACGCGAGGGGCACTGAGGACGTCCAGGCTGCACTGAGTGAGTGGCTGAAGGCGGGCGGGGCCCCGATTAGGCAGAGTCGGGTGGAGCGAGCGGAGCGTCGGGGAGAGGCCCGGTGCCGACAGTGGAGATGGAGCGGTGGTGGTGAAGACCTGGAGGTGACGTGATCGCGTTCTCGAGCAAAATGGAAGGAAGACGACCCAGGACCGCAGGCTCTCTCCGCACTCCACCCCACGTGCTTGGCTTCTCCTTATGGCTTTGGCTGAGTGCCCCCTAGTGGACAAAAGAAGTCCCTACAACCGTCTCCCTGTGGTTTTCCAGTCCCCTTTTCCACCCTACTTTGAAACAAATATACAGTTCAGCTATGCATAGAGGTCAAAGACGAGTAAGGTTTGCCTGGATTACGACTCAAATCCATCCCCCATGAACCTGACCACTGTAGCACTTCCCCATATCCTCCATCTCTTCCAACCTTCATAGCCATCAGGAAAAATTATAATATTGCAGCAAACATTGAGATTAGGTAACAAGTCAGAGGATAGAATGAGACCCCTATTCCTAAATCTTTACCAAAGACAGGAACCATCACTATTCAAGCTTTTGTAGAGGTGGACGGGGACCCATCTAGCCTTGATAAATTGTGACTCAATATCTAAATCCTAATAAAAGTGGGGCTGGAAGTTCTGAATATTTCTCTTTCTGTATTACAATCCTCTCCTCTTTCTTGTGTTTGAGGGACTTCACTTAAGAAAATTAGTTAAGCTCAGAACATCTGAGCCTCGACTTCTTATACTAGCCCCAACTCTTGCTTTCCGTATGGGAAATCAGAGGACCGCAGGGAAAGAGAGAGATGGTTTCATGTTTTGAAATGATACCACCACACTAGTCTGCACCTACAGAACAGCACATAGTGAAACTAAGGATTAATTTTAAGGAGGGGTCAGAGCCTAGGACTCCTCTGGGGACTTGAGCTGTGACTGGGAAGAGAAAGCCTCCCAACAACTGCATCAGAGGAAGCTCAAAAGTAGGGGATTGAGCGACTTGATGCGAGGCTCTATCTCTTTCTCTTCCTTATCTTCCCCCAGCCGGTGGTACCCTGGACGTGGCCTTGGACTTCCCAGACGTCACCCTTTTTCAAGATCTAAGGAGATGTCTGGAGGCATGGTTCAAGTGGTAAAGCGCTTGCCTAGCAAGTGTGGGTCCCAGAGTTCAAACTCCAGTAAAAAAAAAAAAAAAATCTAAAGATAGTGACACTGAGCCATGCATGTCCCTCGGAGTGATTCCAGCGTACCCACTGACCAAGACCGCTTCTACAGTCTCCGCAGCGTGTTGGGTTTACTCTGCCTTTCCTCAGGGCGCCAGGCCTGGGAGGCGGAGCTCCAAGGACCCCTGGGCGGGGCCTGCGTGGTGGGCGTTGTCTCGGAGCTCGTCCCCAGGCTGGGCTATCTGCCACTGGAACTCTTGTCTGGCTTCTGGGCACTGCATCTCTGGCTCCACGCGTCAGGCCCTCACTGAGAGAGGCACCCGGGAGAAAGTGCTCTTCTGTCCAAGGAAAGTGGGCGTCCACGTGGATCACGACTGCGGGAAGGTCGTCTTCTACGATGCCACCACCAGCAATCATTTACATATTTCAAGTCTTCTTCCCTGGGCAGATCTTTCCTCTTTTCTCACTCTTGTCGCCTGGCACTCAGATCACCTTGAGTCCCTAGAGTTCCTCCTGTGCTGCATCTAGTAAAGGTTGACGCTAAGCTTCCTGATGTTGGTTTTAAATGTTGTCTTCCCTTCAATATGCTGAATCGAAAAGAAAGTCTCAATACCCAAAAAAGACTATGCACAAGGCTATACACTGCAGCACTGTTTGTAACAGGATAAGGCTGAAGCAACTCCAACATCCACGAACAGGTAAAGGTTGAAAAAGCCGTGATGAGAAAACATCCACCTGCATCCCAACTCAGACACAGATGTAGGGGAACGGACAGCTGACCCCAGGCGGTTCCTTTCTCCTCCACCTCATTTTCTGCAGCCCCGTGACTCTGAATGTGGCCTTAGCCCAACTAGACCCCATCCTTTCCTGAGAGCTGAAAACCATGACTCCGTCTTTTCAGAATCAGCCAAAGTCTATCCAACACCATTTTGCACATGAGGACTGTATAGTATACAATGGCCTCCAAGGTTAGGTGAAAAAATAAGGCGGGGAGCCATGCACACGGTATACTACATTCACATAAGAAAAAGAGGAATATGGCCTGCTGGAATGACTCGAGTTGTAGAGCACCTGACTGCAAGGGTCTGAGTGCAACCCAGAGCAGAGGGAAAAGATATGTATGTATACATACTTGTTTGTTTATATTTCTCTTTTTAAGAAGAAGGATAAACCAAGCCCTAATAAAAAGTTTCCTATGGTGGAGGTAAAAACTAGGTGGAAATTAGCCTTTTCTGAACGTATCTTGTACATTTGACTTCAATACCATTTTACATCATCATAATTAAATGAAACAAAATGAAACTGTCAGTGTAGTTGGAGCTTACACACCAGAGAGAAGTTATTTTAAATAACTTCAGCCAGGCTGGTGGTGTGGGCCTGTAGTCCCAGACACTCAGGAGGATAAGGCAGGAGGATCACTTGAGCCCAATAGTTTGAAACTAGCTGGGGAAGCATTGTAAGACCCCATGTCAAAAACTGAAAAAATAACTTTCAGAGGGAAAAACTTGACTCTATGTCTTTAGCAGGATATGTCCTAAGGACAAAATAATCCCAAATAAATCTTAACTTTTTAGTTATATCAGTAATAATAACATTAGTGTTGTTATTCTGAACCTATTAGGTCTGAGTATTGCACACAGTAGGATAAAGCTAACATTTTTTATAAACAAGAGAAATAAACACACAATAATTTGAAATTTTAATAGGAAAATCAATATAAACTTACCCTGTGTTTTCTCTTAAAATAGTAAATTTTATTTCTCTGCTTTGTTCACAAAGAAGGCCTAAAAATAACCTAGCTAAAACCCATCAGATCCTCATCTATCAGCATCACTTTAACAACATCATGGAGATGCAGTCTGATGCTCCCATTTTGGAAGAATTCACAGGACAAAGAACTAGCTTTCTTCATCAAGAAAAACTTTTTAGAGCCTTTGTACAATTAGTATACACAAATAAAAAAAATAGTTGCATAGGAGCTGGTGGAGTGGCTCAAGTGGTAGAGGGCCTGCCTAGAAAAAAATAGTTGCTGGGGGGAAAAGGAGAAAAGGGAAACATACAAATTAAAGAGACTAAAGAACATATCAATCAAATACTGTGGTAGAGTTGTTTAGATACTGGTTTGGACAAATTGACTATAATTTAGTTTTTAAAAGACTGAGACGGGAGATCCAAGATGGCAGCTAGGGCACAGAAGCAGACAGAGTGAGCTCCGTGACTCCAAAACCTCACCGAAATGCTGGAGCCATACTTGGCAGAAATAAAGCTGTAAGGAGAATCAAAACATTGCCACCCTGAACCCTAGCCTGTGGAAGGCTTTCTCCATGCCATGTTAAACTGAGAAAACAGGAGGGCTGCCGTGCCACCAGATGCTGGCTCCAAACCTGCCTGGGAGACATTTGGCAGACCAACAGGTGAGAACCAAGGATCATGAAGTATTCCCCCAGCCACCCCTAGGATAAACTAGCATAGTCCCCTAGACAGACTGACCACCCCCCCACCCCGCTAAACAAACAAACAAACAAAAAAACCTGAACAATAAACAAGGAGCTTAAAACTAACACACAACAGAGGGGTGGAGTTGCCAAAAACACTCCAGAGAAGGGGGGCAGGGGCAAGGAACGGATCTCTGTGTGAACTTTCAGTAAACAAAGGCTGGAAAGTCAGAAGGATCGACAGCGAGCAGGTGATAAGCCACTGCATGAAATAAAGCAGGTAGCAGTCCACAGAGCTCATCTCTTGAGCCAGTGAGCAACATCCAAAGTCAAATGACACTGCAAAATTGAAAAACAATCAGCAAACCATCACAACATGCTGACAGCAGGGAGCCGCCTGACAGATCACTGACCTTGCCCCAGAGAAAGGGGACAAGGCAAAGAAACAAGTCCTAGTAATCAAGCACAGTGAAATCCAAAGCAGGACAGCTGGTGGACCACAGAGTTGATCCCAGAACCTGAGGACAACATTCAAACTTAAACTGCCACACCCACTGAGGGAGGAGTTTACCAAGCAGGTGCCTCTGAAAGACAGAAAACAAACAAACAAACAGTACCCAACCACCTGGTGAGACTACTACAGACCTTCTGCTTAAATGCCAACACCAGGATTGGATGCTGGAAGAGTGACACCAGAACTTAAAATAAGACTGAAATTCTGTTGTTCCTGAACCTGGAATTTTTGTTTGTTTGTTTGTCTGTTTCTTTGTTTGTTCTGCTTGTTTGTTCATCTCTCCATGTTGATTTCTTTGGGGCTTTTTTTGTTGTTGTTAGTTTTACTATTGTGAATTTAGTATTTTTGCAAATACTAAATTATACCCAGACCAGCGACAGAAATAACACACACACACACACACACACACTTAGCTACAAATCCAATAGAGCCACACAAAAAATATTAAGCTAAGGGAAAGAAAACAGGTGACTGGAACCACCAACTACACTATCAAGACCACTGTTGCACAGTACCAAGTGGAGTGATTGGAAGATGAAAAGGGATGGAAACCATTCTTTCCCCAAAATAATACAGGATTCAGAGGGAAATGAAGAGAACGGATACCTAGTTCCGGACTCCAACAAAACAAAGATAAATGACACCAAGGAACCCAACATGCTCACCAGAACACCCTAAAAGAAGAAATCCTGCAAGTAATCACTGAGAATTTCATGGAGATGTTACTAGACATGGTTAACCGAAACATACAAGAGTTACTCAAGAAATTTCAAGACAACAAAAATAGAGAATACAAGAAGACACAGAAATAACTAAATGAACTCACAGGAACCCTAAATAAATACCAAGGTGAAACAAAGAACACTATAAATAGAGAGATAAATGAATTAAAGATGAAAATAGGAAATATTAAAGAAGAAGTGACCCAGGATATGGAAAACCTCAGAAAAAAGAATGAAACAGAAATATAAAACACAATGGAAGGCCACTCCAGCATTAGAACAAGCAGAAGACAGAATCTCAGAACTTGAAGATAAAATGTAAATTAAAAGAAAAACTGAAGACCTATTACTCAAACAACTCAAGACCCGTGAAAGGAATATGCAAGAAATCACAGACTCCATCAAAAAATCAAACCTGAGAATCATGGGCATTGAAGAAGAAGAAGAGTTGCAAGCAAAAGGAATTGGTAATATATTCAACAAAATAATAACAGGATATTTCCCAAACCTAGAAAAATCTATGCCCATCCAGGTACAGGAAGCCTCCAGGACACCAAACAGACTTGACCAAAATAGAATTACCCCACGACATATTATCATTAAAACAATAAGCACAGAGAATAGAGAAAGAATATTGAAGGCTGTAAGAGAGAAAAAACAAATAACATACAAAGGTAAACCCATCAAAATCACAGGAGATTTCTCAATGGAAACCTTAAAAGCAAGAAGAGCATGGAGTGAGGTATTCCAGGCACTGAATGAAAACAACTTCAACCCTAGGATACTCTACCCAGCAAAACTATCATTCAAAATATATGGAGCAATAAAAATCTTCCACAATAAACAGAAAATAAAACAATATATGACCACCAAGCCACCACTACAAAAGATTCTTCAAGGAATTCTGCACACAGAAAATGAAATCAAACAAAACCATGAAAGGACAGGCAACACCAAACCACAGGAGAAGAAAAGACAAGGAATCAGAGAGTAACATTAATTCAGCTGCACACAATCAAATGCTTAAACAACAAAGACAACTGAATGACAAGAATCACCACCTATCTATCAATTTAACACTGAATGTTAACGGACTTAATTCCCCTATCAAAAGATACCATCTGGCAAACTGGATTAAAAAGGCAGATCCAACAATCTGTTGTTTACAGGAGGCCCATCTCATTGACAGAAACAAGCACTGGCTTGGGTGAAAGGCTGGAAGAAGATTTACCAAGGCAATGGACCCCGAAAACAGTCAGGAGTAGCAATACTTATCTCAGACAAAGTAGACTTCAAACTTACACTGATCAAATGAGATAAAGAAGGACACTCCATACTAATAAAAAGGGAAATACACCAAAAGGAAATAACAATTATCAACCTATATGCACCCAACATCAGTGCACCCAGTTTCATCAAACACACTTTGAAAAAAAGCACATATAGACTCCAACACAGTGGTAATGGGAGACTTTAATACCCCCTTATCATCAACAGATAGGTCATCCAAACAAAAAATCAATAAAGAAATTCTAGAAATAAATCACACCATAAATCAAATGGACCTAGCTGATGTCTACAGAATATTTCATCCAACTTCTGTACAATATACATTCTTCTCAGCAGCCTATGGAACTTTCTCCAAAATTGATCATATCTTAGGGCACAAAGCAAGCCTCAGCAAATATAAGAAAATAGAAATAATCCCATGCATTCTATCTGATCACAATGTATTAAAACTGGAACTCAACAACAAAAAAAACAGTGGAAAACATGCAAACAATTGGAAGCTGAAAAACACATTGCTCAATGATCAGTGGGTCATCAATGAGAT